GAGACGGAGAAAGACAGGCGAGAGGAGACGTCGACTCCGCACCACAGCTTCTGAAGGATATATTTAGATTAAAAACAAAGGAAGAGTAGACGAGGTAAGGCTGGATAAATATAGTAATACTGCTTGTAAAGCAAACATTTTGTACGTATGTAGTCTAGGAAATTTGTGCATAACTAGCTTTCGTAAACTGCTGCGTATAAAGAGAGAGAGAGAGAGAGAGAGAGGGAGAGAGAGAGAGAGAGAGAGAGAGAGAGACAGCAGTGTCACCATGGCAATGTGGCAGATCACACGTGCAGGATCGCACACGTACATAAACACACGCGTGTTCGCCCTTGACACACAACCAGCCCAACTCAATGTAACCGGAGCCAGAACACAACCGTATGAGTCACTACGATCTGTGAGACCTGTTAATTATAAACGCTGTGATTGGCTCTTGGTTTATCTGACTGAGGAGAGCACTGATATGATCATAACTGCCCCGTGGGGGGTATTTGGATTGTAATGGGCAGATTTCTCATGTGTCATCAGAACTGCAGGCTGCGTCGGAGATCTCAACAAGACACAGTCACGTTTTCTGCTGAATAATTAGCTTCATATAAAACAAAAGTCAAGGGTACGACCTCATTTAAGGTTTTTCACACAGCCGATTAAAGCTGCTCAAAATACAGTGTCAAGACGCAATGCTGCATAAAAGCCAGACTAAACTATGCCTGCTCTGACCTCTAGTATTACAGTATACAGTTGTAATTGCTGTGTAAATGCCGCCTCTGAGCAGCATTGAGAAATACATCTAAATGCCGCTTCAGAACTAAATGAGTAATTCTGTATTGTTTTCAAGTGAATTATCAAGTTACGTGACTTAAGACAAGACTTGAGACTTAAGGAAAAGTATTTAGTCTTGTTCCGATAACATATTTGTTTTCACTTGCTTTAAGCATAAACATCTCTAAATGTGTAATTTCTCATTTTTTTTATAATTTATTCGATTTTTCTTATTTTATTTATTTATTAGATATTTTATCTGATATTGGACAGCTAATGTTCATCTTCTCTATTTAGATTACCTGTGCCGTATGTAATGCTCAGCTAAGCTTTAAAAACATTAATAATGTAATAAATGTAATCTCAAAATGAAAATCCATTTTTTGAGATGCCTAAATTTATTTGTAGCATTTAAAATAATTGATTTTAGTTTTTAGTGTGCTTTTTTATTTATTAATTTTTTTTTAACAAAATAACTATAACATGAAAATAATACCATCTTATTTATAATAATCAGGCTGAATATCAGTGCATCCCTCATGGTTTTGACGTCAGAGTCATGAAGATTTCTGAGTAATTTTTGCAGTTTAATTTCCCAATCCAAACATTTGCTGATGGAGAGCTGAAGAAATAAAGGCTCCTCCTCAGATGTGAGATGTTCTGGAGGCTTGTGAAGATCATTCCTCCGCTGAGGAACAGTGAAAGTAAAGCTTCTGGAAACAAACGCTCCTCAAAAGATCCTGAGGATCAGATTTGAGACTCTAAAACATGATTGATGGAGAATCAAGTAAAGCTGAGCTGCTTCAGTCCAGTAAGTGTTCATCTGGAGATATTACTGACGTTATTCTTATGTATTCTGAGCGCCACATGTGCAGCGTCTGTGTACATTTGGCACTAAGTATCTAGAAATGTGTGTCTATGTGTGTGTGTGTGTGTGTGTGTGTGTGTGAGAGGTGTCTGTCTGTCTGTGTGGGTGTGAGAGAGTCTGTGTTTGTCTGCGTGTGTGTGTGAGTGTGAGTGTGAGTGTGTGTGTGTGTGATAGTCTGTGTATGTGTGTGTGTCTGTGTGTCTGTGTGTGTGTGTGAGTGTGTGTGTGAGAGAGAGTCTGTGTGTGTGTGTGTGTGAGTGAGTGTGTGTGTTGGTGTGAGAGAGTCTGTGTGTGTGTCTGTCTGTCTGTGTGGGTGTGAAAGAGTCTGTGTGTGTGTGTGTGTGTGTGAGAGTGTCTGTGTCTGTGTCTGTGTGTGTCTCTGTGTCTGTGTGGGTGTGAAAGAGTTGTGTGTGTGTGTGTGTGTGTGTGTGTGTGTGTGTGTGTGTGTGTGTGTGTGTATGTGTGTGTGGTCCTGTACCTCTACAGCTGTGGTCTTTTTCAAAGCTGGTTGTCTCTCCTGTGTCGCTCTGTCAGGTTTCAGCTCTCAGTTTCTCTGCGCACACATTAATCTCCTCCTCTTCTCAGAGACGAACAGTGAGTATGAAGACAGAAAAAGACTGTTTCCTTTTACATTTGTGTTCTCAGCTCTCTCTCTCTCTCTCTCTCTCTCTCTCTCTCTCTCTCTCTCTCTCTCTCTCTCTCTCTCTCTCTCTCTCTCTCTCTCTCAGACTGATCTGGGATCAGATGATTGTAGCACCACACATGACAGAGCAGCTTTAGCAGTAACTAGGCTGGCGTCATGCTGCCAATGGCTGATGCGGTGTCAGGTTAAAGGTCAGGGGTCCTGTGTGTTGACTGATGCTCTCTGCAGACCAAAACACACACACACACACACACACACACACACACACATCAAATAACATGATGAATAACACACATTTTAAAGTGACAGTTCACTGAAAAATTTAAATTCTAGCATTTTTACTCACCCTCAAGTTGTTCCAAACCTGTACGAGTTTCTTTCTTTAAAAGTTTTGAAGAAGATTGTTTTGAAGAAGATTGTGAGGGACCAAACAGTTGACGGTAGCCATGGACTTCCATAGTATTTTCTTCCATACAATGGAAGTCAATGGCTACCGTCAACTGTTTGTTTCCCAACATTCTTCAAAACATCTTCTTTTGTGTTCAACAGAAGAAAGAAACAACATGAGGGGAGTAAATGATGACAAAATTTTAATTTTTCAGTGAACTGTTACTTCAAGTAAGAATTATTTGTATATGTGTCCCTGCAGCACAGAAGCAGTGTTGAGTCGCTGGGGGATATTTGTAGCAATAGCCAACAATACATTGTATGGGTCACAATTATACATTTCTCTTTTATGCCAAAAATCATTAGGATATTAAGTAAAGATCATGTTCCTTGAAGATATTTTGTAAATGTCCTACCGTAAATATATCAAAACTTAATGTTTGATTAGTAATATGCATTGCTAAGAACTTCATTTGAACAACTTTAAAGATGATTTTCTCAATATTTAGATTTTGTTGCACCCTCAGATTCCAGATTTTCAGATTTTGTCCGATCCTAACAAACCATACATCAATGGAAAGCTATTTATTCAGCTTTCAGATGATGCATAAATCTCAATTTCACAAAATTGACCCTTATGACTGGTTTTGTGCTCCAGGGTCACATATTAGTTTATGAACTTCATCTAACAAAAGGAATAAACGTTAAACAATACACTAGTTGAAGGAAATGAAAAGTGTGTGTGTGTGTGTGTTCTCTTCTATAGGTTTCATTTGAGAGGTTTTCTAGGTTTCCTGCCAAATTCTGAGAGGCCACTGATACTGGAAGCGAGGGAAGAGGAGGGTGAAGCGAGAGCGAGAAATGAAGGAACAGGAGGAAGCTCTGTGAGCGTAGCACATCGTCTGCTGGAGGTGAGCAGATCTACCTGTGTGTGTGCAGATAATGGCAATCTCTCGGGAGAAACCGCAGGGTCTGGATTGATCCGGAAGGTGACCCACTTTCACGGAGCTCCCTTCTGCTAGTGCGGCTCAGAGAGAGAGAAAGAGAGGACGAATTAACACCAGAACACCTGAAAATAATGCTCTGCTGACTGTGGAAAACAGGACTTTTCTTGTTCTTTGAGAAGAGTTTAATGTGACATACTATAATGCACTTTACTGAAATTAAGTCAAGACACTTCAGGCGAAAACACTGTTGTTGTTGTTTTTTCATGCACTGGTCAATATTACAATTCCAAATTTGACAAAACATCCAAAAATACACATTTAAGTGTTTATTTGAATGCATTTAAGTGTTTATTTTAATGCACTTTACTGAAATTAAGTCAAGACACTTCAGGCGAAAACACTGTTGTTGTTGTTTTTTCATGCACTGGTCAATATTACAATTCCAAATTTGACAAAACATCCAAAAATAACCATTTAAGTGTTTATTTTAATGCACTTTATTTATTTGCATGGCATTGTGTCTAAATAAATTAAAAATAAAACACTAAAAAACTAAATTAAATGTTTTAAAAATGAATTTAGGCAATATAATAACAAAAATGCATATTCATTTTGAGATAGTTATTAATTTATTAGTGTTTTTATAAGATAATCTAATAAGTAATCTAAATGTAAAAATGGGAGAGATGAGCGTTAGATATCCAGTATCCGCTAATATATATAATATTGACTATTATTAGCAATACATTATGAAACAAAGCAAATTTAGAGATGTGTTATTTTAGTAAAATTGACATTACGATTATTGTTTTTGTATATATTTTTAATTCGATTTTATTTTTATATTTTCGGTTTTCATCTTAAATAAACGAAATAAATAAAATGTATATACATCTTATCGTATATATCTTATACTTTATATCGTTTAACGTTACATTTCTTCTGCGGTAAATGTAACGTCATCGCGATACTTCACTGGACAACAATACAGAAATATTGATTATAATGTGAATCATGTTAAGAGTGATATTATAGAAATGCAGAGTTGAAGAAATTAGTATTTCACTTTAAATAAATAATCCCTTATTTGGCCGGTAACTAATGAAATGAAAGCAACGAGACTTGAGAGAAAATTAATAAATCGTTATCGATAAATGCCCTACCTGATAAAATCGAGCACTAGATGCCACTGTATTCCGTCATCCTTATTACAGAAATCAAATAAAATATGAACAATAATAGTAATTACCGCAAAACAAATCTGAGGTAAACTGTTTATGCGGCTGTTGTAAGTTGTTGCCTGGCAACTGCAACGACTTTTTTTTTAAAAACGCATTCAAGCAGTCATTTTCCCGGGAACCTCCGCATCACGTGACTCCCCCGGCGCCTAGCGCGCAGCTCAGCTCTCCGAATCAAAATGGCGGCGCCGCATGGCGCAAAACTGAAGGATTTAAAGTGTAATTTGACGGACTGTCCCGCAGCACAAGCGCACCAGGGCTCTCAGGTCGTGTATATGTTTCTGCTGTTTATCCGCAGGTGTTTATATAAAGACGCTGTGACGATGATCATGTGTAAAAAAGACGCTCCTCGCGCGAACACGTGGACGCCAGCGCGACTCGAGGCGGATGTGGAGTTACGCACGCGTTATAAAGCTCCAGAAATGCGCTTTTGAGAGCTTGTTAACTGCTCAAAGGTGGTTAAGTTTGTCGATCGTGTTTGTTTGACAGCTTTGGTACTCAATCAGTACGAAACGCCATTGAATGAATGAATGAAACGAGTCTTACGCGACCTTTTCTGCACGTGTTCATATTTAAATGCATGAATAAATGAATCATTGATTTTAACTGAAGCTTATTATCTTCACCGGCAGATAACGCTCACGTATTGATACGTGCGTAGCTCAAATGACGCTGACGTGACGCACGCACGCACGCCTGAATCATTCTCAGATCAAGATTCAATCCGAATCAGTTCATATTCACACTTAATACACTTCAGAAAATCACATTGAGAGTTTTGCAGAGTTTGTTCTTTAGTCCATGCGTGTGAACTACCTAGTATACTTCTATATGAACTTTACAATTTTATTTACTTTTACTTTACTTTACGTTTAGTCATTCAGCAGACGCTTTTATCCAAAGCGACTTACAAATAAGAAAAAGTAATGAAAACTAACAGCTAAAACGCTATAAATACTATGTATATATATGCACACATTTAAGAAAATGAAATAAATTAAATAAAAATGACAAATGCATACAACAACATTTCAAAAATAAAACATTTAAATGAAAAAAAGACGATTTTTTTATTTATTATTATTCTTATTTGTTATACAGATTTAAAATGCACACTTTTCTTTTCTAGTAATTATTTATTAACTAAGTTTCAACACTTAATAAAATATATAATTATGTTATATGTCTTACTTTATCGTTTTTACCGTAAAATAGTAAATCACGTTAAAATGAAGCGTTCGTTTGCAGAAAATTGAAACAATTTTCAGAAATCGTGTTTTTTTTATTGTGCGTTCCGGTTATTCTCAATCAGACTGCAGGTGGGTTATTTTGAGTAGGTTAAAAAATAACTAAAAATACAGCTAATACAATAAAAAACACGATTTTTGAAAATGAAAAAAAAACACGGAGTTATGTTTTTGCAAATAAACTCTTCATATATAAAATTAAATAAATTGTTACTATATAGTTAAGAAAATGTCAGTATTTACAGCTGTATTGTTACTGTAGTCGTTGTTTTTTGTCTATAATTACCATTGTGGCAAGTTCACAATATTACGTTTTTATTTTTGGGCAAATATTATTTAAATTATCTGCAGAATAAACACAATCATCAAACTGTAAATTTCGAGCTAGTGTACAACTTTTTAATATGCATATTTAAAATGTAAACTTTTCTGGTTAAATTATAGTCTAGCTATATACAATTTAATATATATTTTTATTACATTTAATTGATTTAATTTGAGTACTTAAAATGAGAAGTGTGATGAATTTTATAGTTTATTTCAGTCGATGTTTGTTTCAAAAATAGCTTTAATTAGTGATAGTGACACTTCTTAAAACAAATGGGAATTATGTAAACAATTGTATTATTGAAATGCAGAGTAGAATAAATATTTGATTGAAAAATAAATCCAAATTTTGTGTACAACCCAGTGTACCGAAAGTTTACAAAATTCATTATAGACAGTCTTAAAATTCAGATTTTCTTTTCTTGTAATTGTTTCTATTGAAACTATTAACTACTAAAATATAATAAAATATATATCGTTAATGTTATATTAATTTGTTACTTCTGTAAAATTAGAAATCAGATGACAGTGCTGGATTAAACCATGAACATGTATACTTTTTAACAAACTATATTCAGTAAAGTGCTTTGCTGTAGTTACAGGAAATATGACTTAAAGTCCCCGTGAAATCAAAATTAGAGTTTTTTGGGTGTTGGTATCAATATAAGGTTATCTATAAGGCAGTGTGCGCCAAAACAGTGACACAATTCGCGTTTAGAAGATATAAGCGTTCAAAGCACGCAGTTCGTCGCTTCCGACAAAACGGCTCAACGATTTTTGTGACGTCACATCGTACTTCAGCTTCTCATCACACTTTGTCCAATCAGACGCTCTCTAGAAGCCGAAGCCCCGCCCCCTACACTATAAAATCGACGCTGAAATCAGTCACTTGAACGGGAACGAGGAAAAAAATAAGTCTGGTTTTGCGCTGTGTCACGCTAACCACCGCACTGCGCACACACTCTGCTCTGGTCCGGAGACACGATAGCACGGAGCGGATCACACGCGCGAGTCGGCGCAGACCACAAGATGTATCGGAGCTATTTGAATTCTACACAGAATGCTATATTTTATAGCAATATGGATGAGATTGTGGCTGTCAAATGCGGCTTTACGGAGCTCAACGGCTCTAGCCCAAGCTGTGATATAAACGAACGCTATTGGATATTTTAAAAAGGGGCGGAGCTGCTTGATATGTCCCGCCCTGTCTTCCTGTTTCAGTTAAAATGACGTCAACACAGAGTAACGCTGTGTGTTTCTTAGCATTTCAGGGGACCTTTAAAGGGATACTCCACCCCAAAATGAAAATCTTGTCATTAAGCACTTACCCCCGTGTCGTTCTAAACCCGTAAAAGCTTCGTTCGTCTTCGGAACACAATTTAAGATATTTTGGATGAAACCCGGGAGGCTTGTGACGGTCCCATTGACTGCCAAGTAACTTACACTGTCAAGGTCCAGAAAAGTCTGAAAAGCATCGTCAGAATAGTCCATCTGCCATCAGTGGTTCAACCGTAACGTTATGAAGCGACGAGAATACTTTTTGTACGCGAAGAAAACAAAAATAACGACTTTATTCAACAATTTGTCTCCTCTGTGTCTCTCCGCATCACCGTAATGCCGTTTTGGAGAATATGAGCTGAACACAAGCAGCGTACGCTCTTCTGTGTCAGCCGCGCTGCACTGATGCGCTGTTTTTATTCAAATCAAAGCGTAAATGCACGTAGAAAACGTATCTTTGTGTCGCGGCTGACACAGAAGAGCGTACGCTGCTTGTGTTCAGCTCATATTCTCCAAATTGACTGCCAAGTAACTTACACTGTCAAGGTCCAGAAAAGTCTGAAAAGCATCGTCAGAATAGTCCATCTGCCATCAGTGGTTCAACCGTAACGTTATGAAGCGACGAGAATACTTTTTGTACGCGAAGAAAACAAAAATAACGACTTTATTCAATAATTTGTCTCCTCTGTGTCTCTCCGCATCACCGTAATGCCGTTTTGGAGAATATGAGCTGAACGCAAGCAGCACAAAGCCTCCCGGGTTTCATCCAAAATATCTTAAATTGTGTTCCGAAGACGAACGAAGCTTTTACGGGTTTAGAACGACACGGGGGTAAGAGATTAATGACAACATTTTCATTTTGGGGTGGAGTATCCCTTTAAGTTAACGGATTGTTGGACTGTTGTAATTCCTTATCATACTGACTTTACAGCTTTGACTTTACTGGAATATAAAGGCCAGAGTTTATCCTGCAGGATTTGAATCTGGCATTGTTTTCCAGGTCAAAAAAAGGTACACTTCTATAATGTACTTAAAGTGCTCTATTTTCGCGCACTAATTTTGTATGTATATAATATATATATCGACTAAGTGTACTCAACTGTGCTATTTTGGGAAATAATTTATTTAGTCACCACTTGAAGAACCCATCTTTCATACACTAGTGCACTCAAGTGGTGACTAAATACAGAGATAGTAAGTTAAAAGCACATTTTAGTTCATATTCATGGTGTCCCGGAATAGCACAGTTGAGTCGATCTTAAGAAGTGCTAAAGAATCACTTTTAGTGCATTAAGTACAAAATTAGTGCGTGAAAATAGAGCACTTTAAGTACATTATAGAAGTGCACTTAGTTTTTTTTAACCTGGGTTGTGTGATTTGTTTTATCCACAGGTTGAATTTATGAAACGCGATGTTCCCGTCTTCGAGCTGGATGTCGGAAGGATCTCCGATGCGCTTCACGGAAGCCTGGATCCGTCCATTTTATCCATCTTTCAGGAGAAGACGCCGACGAACAGCATGGAGAGCGAGGCGTCGCTGCTGTCCGCTCTGACCGAGATGTTGGATAGCGTGGACGTCGAGACGCTGTCGCCATTCGACACGCTGCCAGACGCGGAGATCTTCTCGGCTCAGAAGGGTTCGGATCACACGGTTAGTCGACACGGACATGCTATCATTGTTTACTAGGGATGTAATGATATATCAATATCGTGATATCGCGATAGCAAAACTGTCTCGATATTATCGCGGTCACAATCAATGAATCAACATTTATTGGCCAAGTATGCATAACATACAAGGAATTACAATGTTTCACAAGAGACAACAAACAATAGAATTTAAAGTCTTTATGGCTACTAGAAAAAGCTATTCTGAAATCTGGAAGTTCTCGTGACGGTATGAAACGATAGGTGTGTGTAGTTTTTCAAATACATTTAAACTTCTTATTGTAACATAAAAGGTGTTTAAAGTAGTGTTTTGGGTCATTCTGCTTCGGCACAGTATCTCAAACGAACTCGAACCGAAAGCACAATATGCTTCATCTCTTCATCAAGTCTGTTTCAAAGTGAAGCACACACTTGGTTCAGACGATCGGCTCGTGATCCGGTGTTTTCTGCGTCTCAGAGCGACTCGTTCACACTGAATGAATGCGGTCCACTCCTTTATTTCACCTGCTGTGAGTTTAGCGCGCGTTTGGGAACGCAGCAGACACCAGTTATGCTTTATTTTCACGGCAGATGATGACAGCGTTTCTCTAGATTTGTAGCGAGACGTGTTTTTGTAATCCTGTTTTCACTGAAGCTGGAGTTTCCTTCTAAATAAAAGCTTAAAGTGCAGCATGAATCGCTGACAGCTAACGGTTTAAACGCAGGCCAGATTCACAAGATCTCTCTCAAGTGTAGAAACTAGGAAAGAAGTATTGTTATTTCTCTACTGTAGTATAAAGCTCAAATAATATAGCTATGATACATTCATTTTCTTTTATTTTACAGTGCAATTGTTTTATAATATATGGCTATTACTGTTATTATAATAATTAGTTTATCTTCCTAAAACAGCAGTGTGAGTGTAATTTAGACTGAGACAGTAGATCACAAATAAAAAGTTCTTTTTCTGACTTTTTCTGATTTAAGTTTTCTTAGTTAAGAACATGTGTCGCAGCTCTTCATTCTGAACTCTCAAAGTGCATTAGATTCCAATTCTTCATTTGTCTTCAAATATCACGATAAATATCGTATCGTGGACTTCATATCGCGATATTATCGTACCGTGAGGTTTTGATATCGTTACATCCCTATTGTTCAGTGTTTTAAAACGTGTTAAAGTATTTACTTCTGTCAAACGTGTTTCCGTCACAGCTCAGGAATCTGCTTCATTTGAGTCCGTCGTCTCCGGATCGGCCCAAAATCTCTCAATCAGCAGCCGTAAAGAAGTCCGGAAGAGTATGTTTCCTCTGGCTGCTCCGTTAATGAGCTGATCAAGACTCTTTCTCCACAGCGTCACACCCAGCTGATGATGGTCGAACTCAAACTAGATATTTCTCTAAATCTACTGTAACTGTTGTACGTGTTGTTGTGTCGAATCTAGAGCTCCACCGAGACTGGATTTTGCAGAAAACTATAACTAAGTTTTAAAAATCTAGCCGATAACCGATTAATTGGCCAGTCGTTAAACTAGTGCTAATTAAGAAATTAAAAATAATCACTTAATCATGAGAACGTTTTTGTAATTATTAAAATAAATAATAATAAAAAGTAGTTGTGCTTCGTCACACATTGATGATTTATATAGTATTGTCATGAAATATATTGTGAAATTATATACAAGAAAAAGAGAGAATAAAATAGCTAGAAATAAAATAAATTAAAATCAATATTTTTTAATTTTTTTAATTTTCAATAATAATAAAATAAATAGTATCATTATATATATATATATATATATATATATAAATTAAATAAAATAATATATATATATATATAGCTCTTATGCTTCTTTTTTACATAACTACTTCAAAAAGATTATTTTGTAAGAACAAAAATTTGAAAATTGACTTCTATATTTTATATATATATATATATAATAGTTGCTTCATCACATTATTTTATTTTATTGTCATGAAATATTGAAACGATTTACAAAAGAAAATTAAAATTTTTAAAATGTAATTTTCACATGGCATGTACAGTTTTTATTACATAAAATATATTTTATAATTCATATTATATGTATTTTACCTTGCTCTCGTATTTCTTTTACACATAATTACTTAAAATTTATTTTTAAAACTATGTTTTCTGTGCACACACATTCGCAAAGTATATATATACACATGAAATATTACACATTATATATATTTAATGTAAATATATTCGATTAAAATGTTTTCAAAGCAAGGTTATAATCATTAACTAAAAAAAACTAATGTTCCTTAAAATAATTGTGTTTACAGAACAAACTAAAATACAAAAATCAATGTTTATATATCAATATTTATCACACTTCCAAGACGAAGATAGTGCCAATTAAAAACTAAACGCTGTATATCGCTCGACCTCGAGTTGTGTCTCAAGTGTGTTTTCTCTCCTTCAGGAGGTCGTGATGTCCGACAGACAGTTAAGACCTCGTCGATATTTAGGGACGCAGAGCGAGAGCTCACAGCGAGGCGACGATGAGAAGAAGAGCCGATCTGTGAGAACCTTCCGGATCGAATCCGACCCGATATTCCCACAGGACTGCCGGGATTTACTTGCCGATTTAGTGAGACACATGCATCCGTACTGCGTCAGGACCGAGAAAGAGACGCGAGTGTGTGCGGAGGAGGAAGAGGAGGGGTTTGTTGATGTAGAAGGTTACGAGGAACAGGAAGAGAACATTCTGGACCGATCAGGAAAAGACTCGAATCCAAAAGCAGAACCAAATGCACAGAACGAAAATACGGATAGACGGGTGAAGAAGACGGTGACTTTTGCGTTAAACTTAATCTCCGTTCACGAGATTCCACCTGACGACGAGGAGACTTCTGAATCCACATCCTGTAAAAACGACATCACTTCCTCTCAGAAGCCCAAAGCGCTCAGTCTAGACCAGTACCGTCTCCTCAGACAGAAGAAGCCGCCTCTGGAGGACAAACGGATGGACTTCCGAACCAAATGGCCTTCGCTTCCCGAGCTTCCCAACAAGGAGCTTCCGCCAATCCTGGATCCAAACACATGGACATCTCCATCCAAAGACGCCAGGAAGGCTGTAGGTCTTCTCATTGACCCGCCAAACCCGGTTTTAGTGCCCTTGAAACCCACACGCCACACAAACTCAGAACCAGATGCTTGTGTTTCTTGTGAAGAGGGTCGAGTCTCTGAGGTCAAACCCGAAACTTTAGAAAGGAGACCGAAGCAGACGATGTGTGGAGAAATCGGTGAGCAGACCATTTGTCTCATTCATAAAGATATTGGACCACAAAACCAGTCATACGGGTCGATTTTTTGATGAGCTTTCCATCGATGTATGGTTTGTTAGGTGCTCGCTCGATTGAAAACAGTGACTGGTTTCTGAATAAATGCACTTACTCAACCGCTGTTGCTTTAATAGAGAAACAGGCTATTTTATACTAGTGTTCATAATGTAAACAGAAAGAGTGCATAAGTCTTTGGTATTCATTTATATAATAAAAAGCCTATAATAAATCAGTACACTAGATGAGGGACCACGAGTTCTGTTGATTTGTGTTTACTGGAGAAAGTGCAATACCTGAAATGCAAAATACATTTCTCAAATGACAACAATCATTACGATTATAATTTTGAGCTAAATAAATTTTTATCAGTTTAACCATAATACAGCACGACGAAAATGTGACTAAGATTTAATCGACTAAAACGCTCAGACATTTCGTTGAGTTAAACTTGACTGAACAAAAACAGGACAAGGCTGCCTAAATATGATAACATTCGAGTAAGACTAAGACTAAATAAAAGATGGCTGCAAAAAATAATACTGCTGTACGGATAATTAATAATAACCTTATTGCTAAAATGTCTAGCACTAGATATATATATATATATATATATATATATATATATATATAATAGAAAGTAAATAAAATAAATAAAAATACTTGATGTTCTAAAATAACTAAAAATAAAACCGAAATAAAAATAATAAAAACATAAGTAGATTTTTCAAATAACAGAAACTAATACAATGGAAAAAACAATATAGATATAAAAAATATACAAATGTAAAAATAAAAAAAATACTTTTTAAAGGTTTAGCTAAAATTAAAAGCAAATATGTAAACAATGTTTGTACAATAATTATGTGTGTGTGTGTGTATATATATATATACATGTGTGTAATGTTGAAACTAAATAAGCTACATACAAACATTGTAAAAATTTTTACTTTTAGCAACAAGATTACTGAAACTTAATTAAAAGGAATTTAAATAATTTATATAAAAACTATAGTAGTATATTCGTGATACTAAAATAAAAGTTTGATAGTTTCGTGTTTAAATTATAATTTAATATTTAATTTAAAATATTAATAAAAAGTAAATAGACTAAAATAAAAAACTAATAAAAAGTACTTTTTTAAAGGTTTAGCTCAAATATAAAAACAATGTTATTACAATAATTATATATATATATATGTGTAATGTAGAAACTAAATAAAAACTACAAACATTGTAAAAATTTTAACTTTTAGCAACAAGATTACTGAAACTTAAAAATTTAAATGGAAAATATGAAAAAAAGGAATTCAAATAATTTATATAAAAGCTATAGTAGTATATTCGTGATACTAAAATAAAAGTTTGATAGTGTTTCGTGTTGTGTTTGTTTTGCAGGAATTGAAGCCGCTGATCTGACCAGCCTTTTGGAGCAGTTTGAGACTCGAGGTAAATGATAAATGCACGTTCGTTTATGATCGCGTGTAATTGAATAGACACTATCAGCTCGTTTACATCAGGGCAGATTAGGGTTGGGTTCCGAAACCCGGGACCAATATGGCACCGGTAACCAGTATGTACTAGAACCGAATCCGAACGCAGATTTCGGTGCCATGCCTGAGCGATCGATTGAAATATGTGTCCTCTGGTTCTCCGAAACGCACGTAAGAAGCCTCATCACCGGCACCACACGTGAAAAATCATTTCCAGACTGAGAAAATATATATGTGAACAAGTCGGAAAGCTCTAATAATACAAATCCAACACATGTTTGTAGTAACGAGAGTGTCCGTGTTGTTTCCACATTCCGACTTAAAAGCACAACTCTGGAAACGAGAGCATCCGAGGAGCGCGTGAATGCAGTAATTACACTTGCTCTGATGGCAGCAGGTAGCCTTACATTAACTAAGCTAAACATGCTTAAAGCTAACCCTCCCTTATATTCACATTTCTAAACCTGCTGTCCAACAAAAGAGAACATAACCTTTTTACTCCACAACACCAGTCACATGCTTCCTTTTCTTCTTGTCACAGAACGAGGCAGAAAATATGTTCCATATGCTACTTAAAAAAGAATACATTGATTAGCAATAGATTATAAATTAGAGTGACCTTACGTCCTCTTTTTCCCGGACATGTCCTCTTTTTGGACCTTCGGATTCGGCTGTTTTCTTAATCCCGCTCCCGCTGAATCTCTGACCGTTGCCGCCTGCTCCAGCAACATGTGTTTCGCTCCCGCGATTTTCGTGTCCACTGCTTTAAACATTCTAATATTGAATATAATTTTGCCGCATCAGGGAGCCGCTCTCAGGATGCGGAGTATTTAAATATTTTTGAATGAGCGTTTGCGCCGTTTACTTTCACTTTCGATTTCGCGATCACACACACTCTGTGTAAAGGGAGCACATCTTACAAGATCAGATATTTGTCAGTGAGCTCAGGATCTGTTGAGCGTATACTCCAGCATGGTCTCGTTAGTCATCTCTCCTTATTCTCGACCTGTGATCAGGCAAAGCTGACTCCGGTAGCTCTTGTTGGATGCAGGGTTGCCAAGTCCACGTTTTTTCCACAGAATTGGGCTACTTTTAAACTGTTGCCATGGGCTGATTTTCCCAAGTGGGTTAAAGGTTTGAAATATTGCATAAATTACATTTGACTGAAATGCTTGTATTAAAACATTTTGCATTCTACCCATGATAAAACTTTCATGGACTTTTACATTAACTGTTCCCTCCTGGTGACCAGCTCAATCCAAGCAGCTGAGTCCTTAATATTTTCAAGAAACGGCTGAAAACACATCTCTTTCATCTTCATTTGACCCTCTAACTCTAGCACTCTCTATTCTAATGCTACTTCTAATTTTATTATTTATTATTTATTTTAAAAACTTGACCCTCTAACATTTGCACTCTCTATTCTTTTTCTGTTCTAATGGCCAATCCATCATTTTTTGGGGGATTTTTTTATTAATTTATTTTTTAATAAGTATCGGTTCAGGCACC